TTTTTAAAACATCATTTTTATTACTTCCCATAGTCCACGCGCTGCTTCAAATTGTCAACATAACCTTGGTACACAGGACATCCAGGAAAGTTAGCAGAATGATCTGTGGGCAAGCTCTTTTTATGTGACTTGTTATGATTAACACAGTTAATGCATTGTAGCGCCTCCGACTTGCACTCTTTCAGTTTGTGATTTCTGCAGCATCTAGGACATGCAAGCTCTGATTTGCAAGCAGCTTCAGTATGGCGGAATGAACAACATTTGTAACATTTCATCAAGCGCAAATGGTCAGAAATGAAACACTTTTTCCAACCAATGAACAACGAACCTATCTGTAGCAGGGATTTTCTTAAACCAGGTGTCACTTCAATGACAACACTAGTTCCGCTCTTGAGTCTAAGTTTAGTGACAAATTCAATCTGAGATTTTTGCGTAACAGTTAAATTATTCAGGGTAGCTATATTCATTAAAATATCATCAATACCATCCAAATTAACATTTTTTATTATTAACCTTGGATTTAATTTCTTGGCCTCAGATATTGTATATTTAGATGCCAACTTTGCATCAAGACTAGTTTTTGATGAGTTCAAAGATGCATCATCTTTACAATGAACCGCCACACCGTTACGGATTTTACGTGTATTATTTACAAATTTGTTGATTGGAACTTGAAGCTCATTCGCTGTATCTGACGGTCTGTTACCCTATAGGTGGAGAATAACGGACTGCTGTTGATGAAATTGGGCCTAAGGTTCTTTTTATTATTCAGTGTTGCCCCTGAAAAGGGAAAATTTAAAAAAGAAAGGTTCCCAGATACAGTACCTCGCATTTAAAAAATATATCTCGATTTCGAAAATTTTTTTTGTTACGGTACTTCCTCGCCAGTTTTGGCTTAGGAAATAACAAGACACCTAACTGCCTTACTGCCTTTTATCTAATTGCTGCAGTGTAGGTAAAGAAAGCAAAGCTCAAGAGCGTCCACAGACTACAGCAATTAGTTACCATGCAAACAGATCAAACTTGATGAAAGTTTGATGGCTTGGTATACATCCAGCTTACTTATTATTGCACGTCTAATAGAATGACGGCGCGACTTACGCTCATCAATCAAATTATATAACACCGTCACGTTTCATTCTTGCTATGTTTGTAAACATGGATGTCAGCTATGAAGGTGAAGAAGGATACAGTATGAAATATTCTTACAAAGAAATACAATGGTCTTGCGGAAACTTATAATAGAAACAAACGACGATCGTGGGCATGTCCACAGTATGGAACATGAGCGGAAACAGAAGGACTGGTAACACGAGCGACATACGTTTCTACTTATCGTCATATGCATTTATTATACTAATCATATATTTTATTTGAAACCGATAGATTATCAAGATTTGCACGCAATATTTAAATTTCTAAAATCAAATGCCTTGGGGATTGATGGAATATTTCTCTTGTTGAAACTCTGTTTTCACGTTATTTCTAGTCACATTCTAAACATTACAAACAAATGTTTTGAAGAAAAAGTATTTATCAAGTTATGGAAACGACGTTTAGTCACAGTAAAAATATTAGCGCCACTTCTTTTTCTGATTTAATACCTATAAGCGTCCTACCGATATTATAATAATAATAATATATTTATTGCCCAACAGATACATCCATTTTAAGGACAATGTAATTTAATACAATTTGACGTTACAGTATTTTTAACTAATCACAGCTCGCCCAGTTTCTGAACAAAAATGAAAGAAAAAAATGAATAGCTACACCTACTCACCTACATGTCTTAAATGCTATAAATTGAATAATAGTAGTCGCTGAATACAGCTAATCTATCTTTGATTTTATCATGATGAATGTCACAATTATCAGCTATGGTGTTAAAGCTGGTGCACATAAAGTACACCGGTCACTTAATCATAACATTAGAATTTGGTGTTTTTAAGTAAAAAGCGAGAAATCTTCGGGAAATGCGGGACGGTACATGAAAATCAATTTTAGATAATGAAGCTGAAGAATCAACACTGTGTACGAGTTTGTCAAGGAGTTTTAAACTATTACAAATTCTTCTCAGCTCAAGAGGATGCACTTCAAATCTGAGCAACATCGCTGATTGGGGAGTCCCACGATTGGGATAAACACTATCTAATTTGAAAGTCAAGTATTTAAGAAATCTCCTCTGTAGACTTTCAATTTCATTAGTATATATTTGGTAATATGGATGCCATACACTAGATGCATATTCCAGCTTAGAACGCACCAAGGTGCAGTATAAAGCCTTCAGTGCCGTTTCACTACCAAACGATTTACAGTTTCTTATCAAAAAACCGAGGCTTTTTATAGCAGATGATACTATTGTACTAAGATGACCTGTACATTCTAATTTAACATCAAACAAAACACCTAGATCTCTTACTTCCGAACAACGCATCAAACTCACACCTGCCAGTGTGTAATCAAAAACTATTGGATTCGTTTTCCTGGTAAAAGAACAGGTTTTGCATTTGCTAACATTCAAAAATAATTTATCAGCTGAACACCATTCAAATATATGATTCAGGTCAGCTTGCAAGATCAGACAGTCATCACTGCTGTTAATCTGAGCATATATTTTTAAATCATCGGCAAACAACAGAGAAGGACAGGTTAAGCAGTTAGGGAGATCATTGATAAAATAAAGAAAGAGAAGAGGGCCTAAATTTGATCCCTGCTGTACACCGGATGAGGCCGAGTAAGGTGAAGATTTGAAACCATTGTAAGAAACTTACTGATTTCTATCATGCAAGTAAGAAGAAATGAAATCTAATAAATGATTGCTAAAACCAAAATGCTGAAGTTTACCTATGATTCTTTGGTGACCACATCCATCTGACCCCTAATATCTAAGACCTCTGCAATTTCCTGAGTGATTTCGGTTATGTTAGAAATAGTAGAGCGATTGCGCATAAATCCATGTTGCGTCTCAGATGTTAGATGCGAGGTCAAAGGATAGATGTAGTTGTATACAGATATCTCAAATGCTTTACCAAAATTATCCAATATAGATATACCTCGGTAATTTTCTATTTTACTTGGGTCCCCAGCTTTAAAAATAGGGCACACTATTATCAAAATTATTATAGAAAGTGATGAATGTACAGACAAATTGTACATTCTGAAATACTGCCAGCTAAGCAGTGGGATTCAGGAAAGGGTACAATACTGCAGGAGCTTTATTAGACTTAACATCGTAAATGCTTGGGATGAAAATTTGTCGACATCATTCAATTTTATCAGCTAAATTCAAATATCATCATTTTTCTGACTCTTCAATTATTATGATCAGTAACTTCATCAGACACAGACTTCAAAAAGCTGTTATAAAAAAGAACGCATCACCAGAAACTTCAATGTTACTGGGAGTGCCCCAGGGAACAGTGCGTGAACCACTCCTTTTTATTCTTTAGATAGCTGGTAAAATATTGCGATATACAATTATTTGTCAATGATTCGTAATCGTATAATAACTTCAATAATGGCAAAATTATAGTTGCAGAAATCTAAATAAATGACGATCTAGAGGCAATTATTACGCAAAAAGTCATAACCTCCGTTTAAATCCTACAAAATGAAAAGTTGTCATATTTTCTTGATGTAGGTTAATAAAAAACTTTAGTGTGTATACACACATACGTTAGAAAGAGATAGAAGCCGCGGGTGGATAGCGAAGCCCATCACCGCGTTGCCTAGCAACGCTGACGCGGAAATCTGCCGCGTTGCCAATATGTCACACCAGTTCCTTAAATTAAGAGGCATGTTGAAAATATGCGTTAGTTCATTCTGTTCAAATAATGGTTTTACTTTGAGCGTACACATTTTTGAATTGTGAATTGCGTCAAATCTGCTTAGGATCGATTCCGGGTCGGCTCTAACGGCGCTCAATTTTAGGTCGAAATGAAAGGTAAGGTTCATCACAAATTCTGCAACATTCCATCATTGGTTCACTTGGCAACACCGCATCTCGCACATTCCAAGGCAAGGTTTCCACCTCCATCATCATAGATGAGCGATTGGCAGTGATAATTAGTATTGCGTCATGGTAATGTTACGTTTTGCGACAGCGAGCAATAGAAGAATGTAACAATACCTCAGGATGTGTTGATTTCATCACCATCGGTGGAAATCAAAGATAATTTTTAAATAAATTAAAACACTAAGGGCCGTATCGTCAGTCGATTCTACAATTTCTAAGACGCCTTTATGGCCTCCTTTATTTTCATAGTATTTCCTCTCTGACAGAAAAGATGGGGTATTTCTAGATTTCTACTGTCAGCGTCAGCGCTTCCCTACTGTGAGGCTGTTTTATTTTTGAATTGTAGGAAATTTCAAGCTGATATAACAGATGATATGAATAAAAAGCATGAACAATTTGATGCAAATAGATATTTGTAACATAACCTCAAAATAGAGCGCTGACACGGAACAGTAGAAGACTATGAAAATCAAGGACGCTGTAAAGGCGTCCTACAACTGTAGGAACGACTGACGATACGGCCCTTAGTCGCATCAAAATTGAGAAAAGTAATTCTAATCAAAATGAAAACATAACATCAAATTAAATATTTGAACAGACCTCGTTCTTGAGCTTGACAGAAGCCTTACCTATTATGAAGCCTTTGCCAACATATCCTGGATGTAGACAGTCTAGATCCAGCATCGGAAATCTGAAGAAGCTTGCCACTCGTGCTAGCGAAACGTTAGGAAGAAATTCCAACCGACAACGGCCGAATCAAGACAGCAGCTTAAAAAACATATCAAGAATCTGATTTTACAGCGCCAAAATTATAGATATATATTTCACTTCTGTTAATAAGAATAGTATTTATTCATTTATCATTAAATACTCGTATGTATAATGCGTTTGTTATATTGTCAGTATTATTGTCATCTATTTTATTCATTTTTGTATTTATTTTGTATGGGTTAAATAGAGGAATAGTTTAAGCGGAATTTCGCCCAAATAAAAAGACATTTTATTATTATTATTGTTAACACAGTTCAACAAACTAACTACAATAACGATTTTTTGTATTGTCAACCCCAGGATAATAATCATTTTCTTCATTCGATGCCAACAGGTTCTTCGATAGTATTCATTTTTGTTCACCTATCGTAGACAAGAAGGTGTAATATGAGAATGAAGTTTTGAGAATCTGTAAAGGCAAAAATTAACTCATTTTAAAATCGTATGCATACTTTATTTACCTGTACAAAAATTTCCAGTGATATATGAAAGAAGTTGACTGCGTAAAATTTTATTGGCTTCTGCGTTCTCGCAATGAAAAAAATCATATCGTTCCTGAAGGAGCTTGAGAGATGGACCCACGGGCTGTCGAAAATAGCTTGAGGAATCAGTTCGCTCTGAAAGAGAAAATGATATATCATCAAGCTGCTCGAGAAAGAGAGAAATGGAAATTTAACGTTGAAATTTGATTTTAAAATTTTATAAGATTTTAGTATCCAATACCCAGTATCAGCTCATATGTCAAAATCCATCAAGCCGTTTTCCAGTACCTCATTTCTGTTAGTCAGAATAACTACAGGGTGTCCGCAAAGTTGGGGTTTTCCTTTTCACGACGTGTAGATCTTGAAAACATAAGCAATTTTTCTTAGTACCATATACACCAATGTCTTAAGGGAACCGAGATAAAGGGCTCTGCAACATCAAAAATATCTGAATACCGTCCTGTAGTCGCAACCCGCGACATCACCGATTGGTACAAGGTCACTGGCTCAACCCGACGACAGAAATGGGTCGGGGTCAGTGTGTCAGGTCATATGAAACCTTCAACCGACAGTTACGGTCACGCGTGTAGAGGTAATCGCGTAGACGAGAATCCCTCAACAAGCACTAGAGAAGTGCAAGTATCAAAAACTGAAGTGTGGAAAACCCTGCGTGGAAAGGGGCTGTATCCATTTCACGTCCAACGTGTACAAGCCCTTCAACCTGACGATTTTCCAGCAAGAGTGCGGTTTTGTGAGTTGTTGTTGCATCAACATGACAATAATCCGGACTTTTTGAAGTGCATATTGGTGACAGACGAATCTACGTTCACGCGTAATGGGGTGAATAACTTTCGTAACACTCATGTTTGGTCAGTAGAAAATCCGCACGCTGTCCGTCGGGCACATTTTCAACAAACATTTTCGGTGAATGTTTGGGCTGGCATGGTGAACGGTATGCTCATTGGACCATTTATTCTCCCAAATCGATTGGACGGGATGCAATACCTAGACTTTTTACGCAACATTTTGCCTTCCTTGTTAGAAGATGTGCCATTAAGTGTAAGACAATCACTGTGGTTTCTGCGTCTGCTCGGTAGCGCGTCAGCTGATTTCATTTTCTGTTGGAGCGGTATGATTTCGGGCAGAGACGTACTTAGCCCTTCTCGTCAACTGGAGAGTGGGTACTTTTTCCTCCTTTGTTATTTCAAGGGTAGTTGTTTCTGAAAAGGAAAACCCCAACTTTGCGGACACCCTGTATAGTTGTAGTCACCGTTCTTGTCGGTTACGTCATCAAAGCCATATGAAATAAGTGGGCGGATCTTCAGCTTCAGCGCATCTGCTGCTCTCTCCAGTACGCATGAAGTGGGAAAAAGAGGACCGCTATTTTCATTCTCTTCCTGAAAATACTCTAATAAATTTAGCCTTCTCCATTGATCGTATTTCCGGGCATTGTATCATTTTATATTGAAGGTTGATAACAGGACAATTTAAATTGCACGACGATGCCAAGTAAGTTGTCACTCTGACAAATATGATGAACGGCACTCAAATTTAACGACAAAGGTTTCGAGACTAAAAAACGTATGTTTGTGAACTTACGGAACAAACGTCCACACACAGGGGTAGGTTGCATGTGTATGTATAAGGGCGTTGGAGATATACATGAAAAATTGATGTTAGTTGGCTTTATAAACTATTGTCCAAAAATGTTTCCTTACAAAAAGTCGGGGTGTTGAAGTTTTAGGAAAAAAATTATTATTTTCAAGCTGTTTATCCAAATCGTTGGATTGGCCGCGATGGGCCCCACGAATAGCCACCAAGGTCCCCAAAACTCTACAGCTTAGATACTAGTGTACACAAGTCCCATTAACACTGTAGAGGAATTATACTAAGTGACATATAAATCCGAACACCCAGTTTAAATGGTTTTATTTTAATAAAATTTTGTATAAGTACTTAATGAAGCATAAGTAAAAAATTTCAAAATGATTGCACTGCCTTAAAGCCCTTTGACCTTTAATAATGTGTGGATGCACCCTGATGTGCTACGCATTCTCCAACGCGCCTAGGCATGCTTCTGATCAGGTGGTCAATGTCCTCCTGTGGTATCTAATTCCAGGCAACCACCAACTCCTCTCGAAGTGCTTCTTGAGTCTGAGGAGGACGTTGCAACAAATTGAGCAATCTCCTACCCATCATATCCCACACGTGCTCAATTGGGATAAGTCGGGAGATCTTGGTGGCCATGGTAACAATGTGACATCATTATGTTGAAAGAAGTCTATTGTGACTCTTGCAACATGTGGTCAGGCATTACCTTGTTGGAAAGTTGGATCTGCCAGGGTGTCAAGATAGGGTAAAAGATGGGGTTCTAGAACTTCGTGGATATAACGCTGCGCGTTCATGTTGCCTCCATAACTCCAACAGTGTGATGAACATGTCTTTCAACAAAAAACTGTGGATTCCTCATTTCACCACGTCGCCTTCTAACCCTGGCACGACCATCGTGCATGCCTAAACAAAATCGAGACTCGTCACTAAAGACAATACTGTTCCATTCCTGATCCCAGAGTGGCCGTTGTCTGCACCACTCAAGGCGATTACGTCGGTGTTCTCGAGTTAAAGGGAGGACCCAGTGTGGCCGGTATGAAAACAAGCCAAAACTTCTCATTCGTCGGTAAACACTTCGCATGCCAATAGGTCTTCCGTGTTCTGCAAACCATTCATTTGCAATGGACCTGGTAGTGGAGAAACGGTTCCTTAAGGCCAATAATCTTAGGCGGCGATCTTCACGGTCTGTTGTTCTACGGCGGCATCCAGTGCCCCTTGCTCTTTGCGTAAGGCCTTCTCGAAGCCATGCCTGACAACACCTAACCACAGTGTCTACACTTCTTTGCACTCTAACTGCAATTGCCCGAAAAGAAAGTCCAGCTTCCCGAAGTCCCACTATACGGCCCCTATCAAACTCACTAAGTTGACGAAATCGTACAGGTCTCCGTACTCTAGGCATCGTAACCGATCGTAAAGGATGTCAAGAACCAAAATCCGCCAACGTTGATTCTTTACTGCGGCTGAAATATTCATTTTTAGAGCGTTAGTGAATTAAAAAAAGCAGTATAAAAAACCGGAATGTCCAACTGATAAGGCTGAAAATATTTTCATTTGTTATTTACAGTAAGATAAATACATTCACCAACTTTTATTAAAATCAAACCATTTAAACTGGGTGTTCGGATTTATATGTCACTTAGTATAATAGAAAGAATAGTTGCAGCTTGTGATAGAATAAAAAGGACTGAAGCATGCATACTAAGTGGAGGGGGCCATTTTCAACAATTTTTGTAATCATTTCGTTGGTTTTAATGTTATGTTTATGTTGTCAGTTGTTGTTCATTACCCCTAATGTGTTTAATTTTTACAATTAAATTAATAATAATTTTGCAAGTTAGACAATAGAACGGCTTTTATTTTTTTTACTCAAAAATGGCGCATCGAAGGAAAACAGTTCAGAGAGATCATTTGTCTTAAATTGAATGGGGAATTGAAAAATAATTTTTATGTGGCAAAAAGCAATTGGCGTACTATTTTTTTATTGAAAAATATCGAGGTCAATACCCGTACGCACTGTTAAAGCTAAAAATTATTTTTGCATCGAGAAATATGCAACTTTATTAACTTTCACTACATACCAAATATCAGTGAAATATCTGAAGCGGTTCTGAAAATATTAATCAATTTCAATTTTTTCCCTGAAACTTCAACACCCCGAGTTTTTGTAAGCAAACATTTTTGGACAATAGTTTATAAAGCAAACTAACATTAATTTTTCATGTAGATCCACACCCTTAAATATTTGCATATCATTAAGGAACACCCTGTACAAAGGGATACTGGTAGTCTTACTTTGAACCGCCAATAACGGTAACTACAACTACTGCCCAACATCTGGCAATAGCTGTTTATTCGGTGTTACACGCTCTGACTTAGTGGGGATAACGAAAATGACACTGTGTCAAGATTGTAAGGTCATGGTTTTTCATCGTTTTAGTTTTTTTGCATCAAACTCGCATTAAACCGATACCATTTAATGGATGTTGGTAAAAAACTGATAATGTTATGACCCGGAGTCACAACGTACATTTGAAATGTTCCTGAATATTGAAGATCTCAATAGAGCGCAAGAAGGCAAGTTCACTTTGAATATACCTCTAAGTGTGAATATCTACACTAAAACATGAAATACGGAGAAGCTTTACAATAAAAATGCAGACCTATGACTTGTTGCGTCATCACTCTAAAAGCATCATCAGGCATCAATTGGATAGTGACAATGTTATTGAAAATGAAGGCGAAATGTGTTTCACATTTTCATTGTTAGAGCTTTGTGTGCAAGCTCCACACGTCATTTAGAAGATAATATGATCAAAAGTTACCCTGCGCTGAGTTTCTGAAGAAAACCAACATGGCTGCAGTAATAATACGAACATCGACAGTTGAAAAGACAGCAAGAACATAAACTCGAAATCTTTGGCGTCCACCTAAAAATTAGATACTTCTACAGTTTAGTTTTATTCTGCGGTTGTTTCTCAATAAACCTACTTCGCTCAACAGTAGCAAACTCATACATAGAGCCAGTGTTATGGAGGCAAATTGTGCGAGATATACTTCTGCGTAGACAGCTTCTGTGATTCCAGAAAACCTGAAACGATCCAGTTTCAGAAAAAAAAAAGTTACAATTAATTTCACTATCATTTTTTCTTTACTATCACAATTAATTATGTATCGCAGATTTAACAGACGATTCTTTGAGTAATTTTGAACAAAAAAGTCCATATAAACATCCACAAATTCCTCGTTCTCAAAATACAGGGTGGTAAAATTAAAAATAAAAAATGGTTTTCGTAAATATTTCAAATATCATTTACCTAATTTTGTTGTAATTTGACGGTGGTATTTATAACATTATTGAGCTAATTTAGCCTTCACTTTATTAAATTTATTCAGTCCATTGGCGTCACCAGTGGGATCTGAACGAATATTTGAGACAAAAAATATACGGCACTGACTTTTGTGCAATTTTTATTATTTATTAAATAAATATAAATACAACTTTTTTGTCTCTTGATTTTTTTTCGTATCTTGCTAAGTTTTCGAGAAAAAAGGCCACTTTATTGCATACCCCTTGACCACACAAGGAATTTGGGGAGAAGCTTTTTTTGGAAATTATTATTTTTTTATGATTTTTGATTACTAGTTATGTTACAGCAACAACAAAAACTAAATAACATTAACATAGTTAGTAATAAAAATTATAAAAAAATAATTTCCAAAAGAAACTTTTCCCCATAGCGCTTGTGTGGTCCAGGGATGTGCAAGTGGAAGTTTTTTCTCAAAAACTAAGCAAGATACAAAAAAGTTGTATTTCTATTTGCTTAATGCAAAATACAATTTGTTTGTTACAAATATTCGTTCTGATCCCGCTCGAGATAAGTCTAAACAAGTTAGGGTTAAATTAATTCGTTAATGTAATAAATACCACCGCCAAAATACAACAAAATTAATTAAAGAATGCCTTTTTTTAAATTTAACACCCTGTAACTTACGAACGAAGAAGTTACGAACCTACAGTAATGGACAAAAGTGTATAGACAAATATGAACATTTACCAAATACCTTTAGAAAACGAATTCATACCTCATTGCTCCATAAACAAATGCGTTATTAGTAGAAAAACTAAATTGCTTGTTTTTACATTATCTGCAATGAACACAAGTCTGAATATAAGCAGTTTTTTATGAGGGACAAAAATATGTATACTCTGGGCGCTGAAGAAAGACATTAAACGTAAACACTGATCAGCACGTGAACAGATCCCTCGAAAGCATCCACGGATATACTCCAGTCACTTTAGGTCTAAACATCCTCGGCAGTGTATTTCTAGTGAATCCACAGACCCTTTTTCGTGTCATCTTGAGACTAGAAAAAGGATGACTGTTAAAATAAGTTACCTTGATCTTTCATGAGCTCCCAGTACAAAACATCATCGATATATTTTTGATTTAGGAACAACAAATTGGTTTAGAAAACATCCACTTTGAACCTAAATTGACTGGAGTAACATCGATCTACAGACAAATTCAAGGTCACTAGCAGTCGTCGGCGCTCTACGAATCTGCACAGGTTTGGACTTGTAAACGTGATTGTAGATGACACGACAGGCATCTAACAGTTAATTCACGCACAGGATTGCATTGCATACGCATTACGCATTCAGTAGCGTATACTCGTTTTTCGCGAGTGGAACGTTTTGTTTATATATTGCCTAAGATACGATGTCTGACACAGATACAGCCGACGAAGTGGTTGACATCAGCGCAACCCCACCCAAAAAAAGGGCTAAGACGCTACATTTAAGTGCAAATGAAAAACAAATAATATTAAATATATACAAAAACCAAATTCAAGAAAAACCCGATTTGGTCGTGGACGAAGTTATAAGTAAGGTAGCACATATTTCTGGAATATGTCGGTCCAGTGTTTATAAGATCATTAAGGAATATAGGAGCACTCACTCACTTTCTGAGCCAAAACCGTATCCTGCAAGAAAAAGGATAACGGACGGAGTAGATGACTTTGACAGAACTGCCATCAGGAGGAAAGTGCATAATTTTTTCTTCCGAAATGAGATACCTACAGTAGATAAGATATTAAGATTAGTTAATGCTGATGAGGATCTTCCATCATTTAAAAGAACCACATTCCGAAAACTTTTGAAGGAACTTAATTTTCGATTCTTGAAACGGGGAAGAAACAGTATGTTAATAGAGAAAGAAGAAATTGTTGTGTGGAGAACCTTAGGAAGATTCGGAAGTTTCGCGATGAAAAAAGAAAAATTTACTATTTGGACGAAACGTGGGTGAATGCTCCACATACTCAAGCGAAAGTTTGGGTCGACAAATCAGTAACATCATCAAGGCAGGCTTTTCTAGACGGTCTTTCGGCTGGATTGAAAAATCCTGCAGGTAAGCTCCTTCATCTATCCGGCAATTTAATTTTGATAAATTCGGGCAAATAATATGCCGTGATAGCAGATAATGTGTGATATTCTCCAAAAATGGTGCATTCGCAGTGTAGTCATTAGGAAAAAAACTTCGACCCTCTTTTAAGCGTTATTTTGAAATTTATTATCATTTTTGGGTGCAGTCAATTTGCTTTGAATGGGTTTTGAGAAGTTGCAAACTTCAATTTTCTACGTTTTTCAGTTTTTGATCAGCATTCCGTGACTCTTAAATTCAGCTAAATGAACTCAATTGCCTCATTCCTTCAAATCTAATCAATCCATAGTGTAAGGAATAATTTATTTCCAGGAAAAGGCAAACGGCTGATCATTTGTCACGTAGGTAGTGAAGACGGCTTTGTTCCCGAAGCACTGTGGGCCTTTGAATCAAAAAAGACAGGGGACTATCATGAGGAGATGGACGGCAATTCCTTTGAAAATTGGTTCTCCAAAATGTTACTAAAGCTGGAGAATAACGCATGTTATTGTACTGGATAATGCCCCGTACCATTCTAGAAAAATAGAAAAAATTCCCACAATGGCAACTAAAAAAGCAAACATACAACAATGGCTGGCCTCAAAACAGATCGATTTTGATGAAACAATGGTCAAGGGTGAATTGATAAGTATAGTCAATAGACATAAATAGAAATACGATTTTAAAATGATCGACGAAATGGCCAAAAAACAAAATAAAACTGTCTTGAGACTGCCACCCTACCATTGTGAGCTGAACCCTATTGAGCTGATTTGGGCCAACATAAAGCAATACGTGGCGTCGAATAATAATACTTATAAATTTTCTGATGTTAAAAATCTCTTTCACATCGCAGTCAATAGAGTTACGGCAGAGGAATGGAAAAACTGTATCCGCCACGTTCGGGAGAAGGTTGAGGTCAAAATGTGGGATTTGGACAATGTCATCGATACCCAAATTGAACCTCTAATAATTCATTTAAACGATTCAGAAGATTCAAGTTCCTCTTCTGAATGAGTGCGCGCAGCTTACTTACTAATAACTAAAAAGTGTAGTTAACTCATTTGTGAATCTCTAACTGAAATTTACTGTAAAAGATAATAATTATCTTGTATGAAATTTTTGATGACTACCCATAATATCTTGATGCGGTCCTGTAATGTCTCCTGCGCCTAAACACTCACTCACGAGCAATATGCGTGTATTTGTTTGGGTTTAGTTTCTTTCTTCAGCGCCTAGAGAATAGGTTGATGTATTAATAAAACAAGTTAAAAAAGAAATACAGCACAATATTAATTTGTCTATTTACTTTCGTCCATTACTGTATGTTTATATGAACTTGTTGTCTTAAAGCTATTCATAGAATCGTCTATTAAGTTTATTGTACATAATTAACATCCATCGTCTTCCACAAAGCTAGATTCATCATCTGGTACAATTATCATATTGTCTGAATTATTTTTGTCCTATTTCTTTCTTCGTACCTGACAGTTTCGATATGATGCTGCACAAATTCCTTGATCTTGACTATAGTATCTTCGGCGTCAATACTTCTAAGATCATCACAAATAAAGTCACATTGTATACTGACAAACGTGCAAAATGCACTCATGGTGATCTCGGTGTACATGTTTATGAACACCTCGAAGAAAATCGCAACGCACTGATAAAAATATACCAGTTCGTGATTTGGAGACTCGGTCACGTTGAAAGGGTACCAGCCAGTGAACGGCAGTTGTTCTTCATTCTTACTGTAGAAGATCGGAGTGGTTACGAGACAACTCACAGCTAAAAAATAACTTTGTAAGTTTATTGCTTTACAATTTATTATTAGCCTCTACTACTGATACTAGACGAAAACTGGCAACACCGTCGTGTTTGTCGTCTCTCCCACGACTGATCCCAATAAGAAGCGCCTATTGGCCTTAGTGTTAATTTATTATTATTTTATAGTAATTTAATTTTGAAGAATACAACGTGTCAAGTTTTCCGGGATTCTTCGATTTTCCAAGAAAACGAAAATGTGACAGATGTCATTATTTCAACGAGTTACCCTGGATTTAAAAAAAAGAACGTTCTACGTTGCTTAGAAGCCGAAATATACTAAGTGACATATAAATCCGAACACCCAGTTTAAATGGTTTTATTTTAATAAAAGTTGCTGAATGTATTTATCTTACTGTAAATAACAAGTGAAAAATTTTTCAGCCTTATCAGTTGGACATTCCGGTTTTTATACTGTTTTCTTTTTTAATTCACTAACGCTCTAAAAATGAATATTTCAGCCGCAGTAAAGAATCAACGTTGGCGGATTTTGGTTCTTGACATCCTTTACGATCGGTTACGATGCCTAGAGTACGGAGACCTGTACGATTTCGTCAACTTAGTGAGTTTGATAGGGGCCGTATAGTGGGACTTCGGGAAGCTGGACCTTCTTTTCGGGCAATTGCAGTTAGAGTGCAAAGAAGTGTAGACACTGTGGTTAGGTGTTGTCAGGCATGGCTTCGAGAAGGCCGTACGCAAAGAGCAAGGGGCACTGGACGCCGCCGTAGAACAACAGACCGTGAAGATCGCCGCCTAAGATTATTGGCCTTAAGGGACCGTTTCTCCACTACCAGGTCCATTGCAAATGAATGGTTTGCAGAACACGGAAGACCTATTGGCATGCGAAGTGTTTACCGACGAATGAGAAGTTTTGGCTTGTTTTCATACCGGCCACACTGGGTCCTCCCTTTAACTCGAGAACACCGACGTAATCGCCTCGAGTGGTGCAGACAACGGTCACTCTGGGATCAGGAATGGAACAGTATTGTCTTTAGTGACGAGTCTCGATTTTGTTTAGGCATGCACGATGGTCGTGCCAGGGTTAGAAGGCGACGTGGTGAAAGGAGGAATCCACAGTTTTTTGTTGAACGACATGTTCATCACACTGTTGGAGTTACGGTTTGGGGTGCTATAGCTTATGGTTCCAGGTCACCTTTAATCTTCATCAGAGGTAACATGAACGCGCAGGGTTATATCCACGAAGTTCTAGAACCCCATCTTTTACCCTATTTTGACACCCTGGCAGATCCAACTTTCCAACAAGATAATGCCCGACCACATGTTGCAAGAGTCACAATAGACTTCTTTCAACATAATGATGTCACATTGTTACCATGGCCACCAAGATCTCCCGACTTATCCCCAATTGAGCACGTGTGGGATATGATGGGTAGGAGATTGCTCAATTTGCAACGTCCTTCTCAGACTCTAGAAGCACTTCGAGAGGATTTGGTGGTTGCCTGGAATGAGATACCACAGGAGGACATTGACCACCTGATCAGAAGCATGCCTAGGCATGTTGGAGAATGCGTAGCACATCAGGGTGCATCCACACATTATTAAAGGTCAAAGGGCTTTAAAGCAGTGCAATCATTTTGAAATTTTTATCATTTACTTATTATGCTTCATTAAGTACAAAATTTTATTAAAATAAAACCATTTAAACTGGGTGTTCAAATTTATATGTCACTTAGTATAATTAAAGATTTTACACCGCGCTCCGAGTTAAACACCCAATTTCAAAAAATAAATCGAGCTAGAGCTGATAGTAAAATTATAAATTGGATCATAAAATGAAGATCCTTGATTAAAATCTTTGGAAACTTCGAGTCTTAAAATTTATCAACAAAGGAGATATGAATTAAAAAAGGGTCGTAGAAAGTGTTTTTAAAAATATGCGTTTTTTAACCACCTATCCAGATCAATTTGTTAAAATAAATTATATTGCAAAATAACGGAGTAAATGTTTATAACTATAAAAATGGCTATTTTCTTAACATCATTTTTAACAACAATTTTGTAATAAATAATTGACATTTTTGCATAAAAATTAAAGTTGAAACATTTAAGAATCCATTTCACTCTTGTAAAATGTTCTAGGACAATCTAGTGGACCCCCGATAATCCGGCCTCTGTCTAACTCGGCGCCCCCTGTAATCCGACATGTCTTTGAATATGTATTACATACATACGTATTTGACAATCTTCGCTAATGTAGATCACGCCGGTTTGAACAGGTTACAACTTGTACGCGCCACCGCTATCGTGCTCGACGCGTAAGCATTGTTTTACTTAGTTTGAATTTGACTAGTGGTGATAGCGCTACGGCCTAGCGTGCGTTCATTGTTTACTATTTATTCATTGTGTATTAAGTATAGTACCTAGTAATGTCATCACAAACTCAGAAGCGAAAGCACAAAACATTGACAATTAAAGAAAAATATGATATTTTAGACCGCTTAAATCGCAATGAAACTTTCAGGAGTTCAGCAAGTGAATACGGCGTAGGCCGATCTACAATTAATGACATTGAAAGAAACCACGAGAAGATCAGGAAGCTCATGTCAACTACTGGCTGCGAGCCAGGCAAGAGACAGACACTCAAGAAAGCTGAACATCCAGAAGTGGAAGAATCTTTGTACATGTGGTTTTTTCAGGAAAGAAATAGGCATGCACCAATTTCAGGACCCATGTTGGCCATGAAAGCTAAGTTTTTTATAGGAAAATAACAAAAAAAGATGATTTTGCGGCCAGCAAAGGATGGCTAGAACGTTTTAAAAGTCGTCATGGCATACGTTTAATGACTATTACATGAGAGAAACTTTCTATCGATGCCACCTGCATAGAGCCCTTTAAATCATTGTTACTTCGGAAGTTATAGAACAAGCTGCTACTGAAACACAGATGAGTCCGGAAGATTTGGAACTCTGGTGCCGTGGAATGGATAAAGAGGAAAATGTTTTTCATGAAATGTCTGACGAAGAGATTATAAAAGAGGTTTCTAATTATACAACAAACAATCAGGAAAATAACGACGACGTGATTGCAACTGCTCCACAGGTTACAATGGACTGACGAGAATGGTACATCCTACAACGAACTTTTACTTTTGAGGGACAAAGCTCTGATCTCGCGTTATAACAACATTAAACAAAAATAAATTGATGAATATTTCCAAGCTTCATAATTTGATAAATTCATTAATGATTTTGATTAATAATTCTTGATTATTTTGGTACATATGTATGTGCATTTATGCTTAATTTTATAATAAAACGAAAGCTATCTATTGTTATTTAATTTACTTAATTCGACATACATAAACTATGTACTTCAAAGTACATACATATACATAACATATATAATCTTACCATTGGATATGTAATTTGTCGGATTACAAGGTACCCTATTGTAAAAAATTCCGAACTATAGGGAGTCTTAGGCAGTGCTCTATAATCCGACAAATTCGATAGTCCGACACTGCCCTGCATCATGTTTGTCGGATTACCGGAGGTCCACTGTACCTTTGACAAGAACAGTTGTTTAAATAATTCGTCTCTGGGATAAACAATTAGGTATTCGCATAAACCATAAAACCGATCTAGCTGAAATTTAGCATACATATTAACACTAATGATGCCCTCATTCTCACATGTTTAACCATTCACAGTTGTTTTTACAACAGTTATGAACATTTATTCAATAATGCTAAAAAGCCCCGTATTCAGCTTAATGGTTTATCGATTTCAATCCTTGAAAAATAAAATTGAAGGTATTTTTATACTTTAAAATGTCCAGGTTACCGATTATTTATAAAGTTTAATTTGAAAATTATATAAACAAAATACTGCATTTGGAGCTTTTCCCATTGTTTATAAAAAAACAACGCATATCAGACTGTATCTTTTTATGTATTTATCATTAGAAAAACTCCTCCTTTCATTTAAAACCCTGAACTTTTTTACACGAAATACCTATTTTTTTTCTCTGAAGCCTGGGCTAGAAGTATCAACTGCCTTACCTAAAAAACAAGTTCCTAATATCCACAGCGTTTGTTTCTTGTGGAACTGCAAAGCCTCTTCAGCCATCTCAGTCTGTCTCATATTCTTCGGCTGAAATATATTCTCTCCGATAAGATCCATAAGCAGAGCCATATCGTTTCTGTTGACGTAAATTAAAACGGCTTTTATGTTGGCGAATATCATAGCAGCGCATATGTATATGCAAGAAGCCACTTCGTGCATGTCAGTGATGTTGATCACAAACTTCGCAACCGGAGCTAGATTGTTCACTGTCATGATCAGCACGACTATCACAAAGAAGCTGAATTTGTATAACGTTTTGTGCTTGGAATCCTTTTCGGTCAGCCAGAAACCCAAGAATCTGACATACTTTAGCTCTTTTCGTATGTATTTTAGATAGTCCAGGTTCGGTTGTCGTTCGGACACATGCATTTTGTCTGCCATTGAAATGGAGTTTTCTGAGAAAAAACGTATGTGCGACTTGCAAAGAAATGCGGCATTTTTTTCCTTTATTGTAAATTATAGTAATCGTCGACCGCAGAAGGTGCCTATTATTGTAATGGCTGCTTCTCGTTTTATAATAAAAAGATATTGGTGGGTAAATACACATATGACACATACAGAGTACGGATGTAATAGTTCGAGATCCCGTTTATTGTGAAATGTCGATGAAATGTTAACGGCTGCAGATTTGGTATACAACTTATCGAACCGACCACTGCGGAAAGCACATAGCTGCTATTAAACTGCTGAACAGTTGCTTTTGCGGCATGGAAAATTTTACCCAAATTCAAGTCTCGATATTTTGGGGACGAAAAGAGATATCAAGTTGCGATATT